TGCTCATTTAACGAAAAATTTGCTTGCCTCTTTAGTCTTGACAGGACATTCCGAGTTTGCGCTGAGTATTGCCTCCTTGTTCGGAGTGTTATCTTTCCTGTTCAACAGTGAAGTACTTTACCAGCTAGGTAGATGGGTAGGTAAATCTGTTTTTTCAAGTAATTTAGGAAAAAAGCTATGAACAGGAAAATCTCTCTTGATGTTGTATTTTGATGAATTATGAAATATTTTGATGAATAAGAAGAAATGTCTCGAGATCTGTACGGGAGCTGCATGTAGTACTTGATGGCCGATACTGAACCACTCTGTGGATGGATCCGTCAATCATGTTCATTAAATGATGAATTAGTCCTTGCTTTCCAAGCAGAATAACCCTTCAGGCCTTTCAGAGGGGAAGAAGAGCAGGAGATTGAAGGAAGAATGTTCAGCATTTTGCTAACACAGTTTTTTTTTTTTTTTTTTAATAGCTTACTTTTTACATTAGAAAGAGTCACTCATGCGTGTCCTTTGTTGTAGATACCTTCCGCAGTTATTTTCAGATCGGCAGGAGTCTGTGTTTATGAGGGAAGAGGTGGGCTTTGCTCGGTTCGGCTCAGTAAGCCACTTCTGACTTTGCGACCGCGGAAAGATCTTGTGGAGACACTGCTGCATGAAATGATCCATGCATATCTCTTCATCACGGACAGGAACAGGTACTAATTTGCCTAATTTGCTATAATTTCTCTATAACGAGGGAACGTGTGGACACGATCACTACCACCAGCAGTAGCAGACTGACCGATCGGTGATGTGATTTTGATTGCAGCGACAGCCCAGCAGTGTTGATTGTGCGAAGGCAGGCTATGATGAAATGACAGCTGCTCAAAGTATCAGACTAAGTAACACGCAAAAACTCTGTACATCAGTGGCACACTGGTCGATACTTCTACTGCGCTTCAGGGTGACCATTAAAAATACATTCAAAGCATATCTGGTAGCTGAAGGGGGTACAGTTTCAGTCGTTGGGATCCAATTTTCGACACGGAGAAACCGTAAACCGCATAGCTGAGCACCGTTTTCTTGTGATTTCTGTGATACATTCGGTGTGGTAGTTCTGTTTATTATGCATGTAGATAGCTCATAAAAGATTCAGTAGTCAAGGTACTTTCTCGTAATGGTCCGACAGTGGTAATATTGGTGATTTTTAACACATACCAAGATTATCGTGAAATAGCTAAAGCACTGATAAGTTTTCTGGTAATCCCTTCAGCAGACGAAATGATCGTCAGGATCAGGACCGAGAGGCAGTGCAGTATAAATATATCAGCTGGAAAACTCGCTAGAGGTATAGTTGGAAAATCAGCCTGAGATTATAACTGATTCAATCGTCGTTGTGAGAAGGTGGATTCTTGAAATTTCACTGTATTATTTAGGGATCACGATGGGCATGGACCGAAGTTCCACTATCACATGCGCCGTATCAATGCTAAAGCGGGTACTAATATCACTGTGCGACACAATTTTGTTGACGAAGTGAAATATTATCAGAGGCACTGGTGGCGCTGTAACGGCATTTGTCGGTATTTGTTTCTTCTGATTTATCATTTAATGGTCAATTTGGCATTTATCGTTGTGTTTGTTTTGCAGAAAAGAATACAAAAGTCCCCTATTTCCACTCGTTAAACGTTTTCACACGCTGAAGGATTGCTGCCCTTACCAACGTAGCAAGGAAATTGCTCTCAGATTAACTTTGCCTTCGCTGAATGAGTTGCATTGGAAATCATCCTGCTGAGGATTTTTACCATCCGTGTAGTTTATCTTAGGCCTGTTTATCTCAGCACGTTCCTGCATAAGTACTGGATTTGAAACTTGGCTTATTGCCATGCAGTCGAGTCTGCTCTTCCGTAATTCAGTAAATTTTGGCATTAAGCATATGTTTTATTTCAGGAGTTCACCACCGTTCTACGGCTGGGTAAAACGTTCTATGAATCGAGCACCAAGTGGAAATGACTTTTGGTTCGAAGATCATCAAAAAACTTGTGGAGGTATTACTTCTGCTACTTCTTTCGTAAAATATCCATATGTCCCATATGCAGGTAGTATCTAAATGTTTATGAATGTAATGGAACATAGAGGGAGGGGAGAGCAGAGGAGGAAGGGTATATAACAGGGATAGAATAGGAGTAGGAATATAGTACAAGCATATAAGAGGAATATAATAGGGATATAAAGAGGAGGGAAGAATAGAATCAATCAAGATAAAAACAGCTGGTGGAACCCCTTCGAATGAAGGGAACAAAAAATCTGGCATTTATCGCAAGAGTTGATCAGCTTGCTTTGTGTGCACACGGCGGCGAGAAACTCAGTACCTTAGCAGTTTGTTCTGGTTGATATGTTAGAAATAATAACAACGATATCTCTTTCTCTTGCCCTCTTGCGATTTTCCGTAGGCGTGATTTTATTTAATAATTTTAGCTTAACAATTGAAACAGATCTTTTCTCATGGTTTTTTGAAATTTAAAAGTCGGCATATGATACATCCTAGAATGAAGATTGTTCACTTTCAAAATCCCAAAAAAAAAAAAAAAAAAAATTTTAAGAGCAGAAAAATTATTGATAAGTTACAAGTCAGAGCAAAATAATTTTTTAATGTCTTGGCGACTAATATTCTTGCAATTTTAGGCACATTCATCAAAGTCAAAGAGCCGGAAGTGCCACCGAAATCAAAAATGCTATTGAAAACGGAGGACGGTAAATTGCCAAAAGGACAGACGACCTTGGATTCTTTTCCCGGAAAAGGCTACGTTTTGGGTGGTACGTCATCTCCGAGTTCGTCAACTCGTACCGGCAAAAGGTGTGCTAACGGCGACAGTGAAATTAAAGTGGAATTGGGAAGATCGGCGGAGCTATTCATTTACGGTAACATCTCAAAAATCCCGAAACAGATTCCGACGACTAAGCAGAAGATATCAAATTCAAGTTCGGATTCAAGAAACGGTGCCGAGCGGAGTGGCGGCGTTGTCCTGAATGTTGATGTTTCCGAAAACGGATTCGGATTTTTCGTGTCGCATACTGCAGCACTTCCATCAGCACCATCAAGCTCGGCTGCTGACGATGATATTTCTGTTCTGGTTCAATGCCCATCTTGTAATACGTATATCCAGGAGAGTACGATTAACGCTCATTTGGATTGTTGTCTCACGCAGCAGTCCTAAACTTCATTTCTTCTAGCTTTGTCTGTACTGCCTTACCCTTGTTGTACGCTTCTGTCTTCAGAATAAATATTATAGCCTGGGTTCTCACTGACGGGCAACTGCTTTACCGGTTAAAATCTTGTGCCTCTCGTCTCAGTACCACTCCTTGTACTTAAAATTTTGGATTGGCGTGATGTGCTCAGGTCATAACCATCCCACTGTTAAGTCATCAGCAAGCGATGAAACATTTTTACTCAGCTCGTCAAAACCTTTAAATTTTTGAAAGAAATTTAGAGGATTCAAACGTTTTACATTTACCGTATGTCATTTTGCATTCCCCTTCTTTGCATGCGTTCCATTTTCGTCTTTCCTGTCGATCTCTTCTTTCCTTTACACCTGTTTATATTC